TTAAACTAAAGCTTTTGCTTAGAATTAAAATAAGCATGGCAGTACTGCATACATCCTTTCAAAGATATTATAAAAAGATACTGACAGTTTCTGTAAAATACAGAATAAGACATTTGATCATCTTTCTTTTTTCTTTGCTTTGCGATTCTGGGGAATGTCGAAAAACGAGTCTAGTAAATATTTGGAATATTGCAGGAAAATTAATTGTTAGCAGTATCGATAGTTATAATATGTTGACGTGGTCTATTACAATTTTGTTTAGAGATAGCTTAATATACATATAGATCGCCATGTTAAATTGTTTTTCTAATAAGAATACACGAGTCCAGTTTAACGACTACTTACTAATAACTACTACTTCTGACCCACCTTATGTTTGTTAAATTCTTTAACTCGAATAATTATCAAACAAAACGCTGAAAATAATATATTGCCAAATTATATTCAAATCGAATTAAATATTTGTTTCTGTCATATGAATATTATTTTAAAATATTCTGAATATAAAAGTTTCGGTCTTAAAACATTATATGTTTGTTCTACTTCATTCATAATAAGCCTCCGGATTAATAAGATTCAACTTAATTTATTTTATGCAAATTTTAAATTAAATCATGACATATGATGACCTTAATAATTGTTTGCTTGAATCTTCTAAACATCTACACTTCACATTTATTAGTAGTTATAGATAAGTTTACTATCAATAAACTTAAAAATGCTAAAAGTAATTATTATTCTAAAGTGCAAATAAAATTTGAATTAATTTGATTTGATGAATATATTTGCGAAATAAATTAGAAAGTCATAAAAAATTAAATTTTAGCTTTATAAATGCCATCAATACCCTTTACACTTATTATAATATAAGTACTTATAATATAATTTTATTACTCATATATACTTTTTATTTATTTATGTGTGAATACTAAAAAATTGTAAAAAAACTGTGTACATGTAGTAATCCACATGATATACTAGATCTACATCTCTAAGACATTTCAGCCCTTTACACTTATTATAATATAAGTACTTATAATATAATTTTATTACTCATATATACTTTTTATTTATTTATGTGTGAATACTAAAAAATTGTAAAAAAACTGTGTACATGTAGTAATCCAAATGATATACTAGATCTACATCTCTAAGACACTTCAGCCCTTTACACTTATTATAATATAAGTACTTATAAGTAATATAATTTTATTACTCATATATACTTTTTATTTATTTATGTGTGAATACTAAAAAATTGTAAAAAAACTGTGTACATATAGTAATCCACATGATATACTAGATCTACGTCTCTAAGACACTTCAGCACCAAAAAAAAACAAAACAAAATGGAATGAAGCAGGTTTTTCGAAGAACTGTTGAAAATAGCATGGGTTATATCAAGGTGATAAGCCCATGCTTACCACCTATTGATAACATTTGTTATCAATAGTTTATATTTAAAAAAAAAGTTTATATTTTGCATCGAAAATAAGTTTCGTTAAAAAAGTTTCCTTTATTTTCATAATTTGACAAGTCAAAAGACTTGTTTAGATACAGTCAGAATCTAGAAAGCTTTAAACGATTCTACTTTCATCGTTAGGGTGTAACAAAAGTAATGATAAACAATCTTTTTTTCTTTAAGAAGGTGTTTAAGAGCAATGAGGTTATCATATTATAATATGACAATTTGCAAACACTGATGTTGAAATGGGGCTTCCCTCCAGTATTGTTTTTTTTTTCATTATCTCGTTGAGGTTTGGCACTTAATACCTCTTATCTCTGAATTTCTTGAAAGGCGATGACAGTATAAAAAGATTTTGCAAATTAGCTATTAATTAAACGAATTTTTACAGTCAAGATGACTACATCGCGCTTAATTTTATTTGTGGTTCTATTTTATATTTTCATAGATTCTTCGAAGTCTGGAGGTAAGAGAAAAATAATTAGAATTATAAATTTTCTATTAAATGATTTTCTATATAGAAACATGCATGGGAAGTGAACGCTATAGCTCGTTTTTAAAAATTGATAATAATTATTACTACATTCCTCATGACAATAAGGTAAAGATAAATGAAATTTTTTTTACAAAAGTACGAAGAATTGTTAATTGAAATAGTATCCTTAAAAGAAATCTATAAGTGAATTTCGTTCTAAAGTAAGTAGCACTAGGACTAGTTACAGTGCTTCTCTTATTATTATATACTTATTTAAAATAATCACTTTTTTTAAAGTAAATATTGGATATATGAATCGGTTGTTACCGTGTCAAAGTATATTAAACAATTTTAAATTTCTCCGGTCTGAATTCGGTAGAGTTAGCTAAAAGTAAATTCGCAGTAATTGTTAAGTACTCAAAATCTGGGTTGACTTAAACAGAAAGATTTAAGTTACAGTCCATATATAGATTTAACTGTACTAATAAATAAGTGCTAATGATTTCATTTTTCTATTATATATAATATATTCACAACTTGTTACATTAATATCACATAGATAAATTGGTTCGGTGCACGTGACACATGTCGTAGATTGGGTGCTGATTTGGCTACTATAACAACTAATGATCAACTTAATGCAATATCAAGTTATTTGTTATCTAAAGGATACGGAGAAAATGATTGGTTTTGGATAGCTGGCAATGATTTGGCTCAAGAAGGAAATTTCTCTTGGGTTAGTAATGGTGAAAAAATGACATTTGCAAACTGGTCTCAAGGACAACCAGACAATAATGGTGGTATCGAAGATTGTGTACATTTGTGGTTGCGTGAAGGACAATTTAAAATGAATGATTGGCAGTGTAGAAACGGAAAAGCCTATTATATTTGTCAAGCACCCGAACCTAAAATGGTCTGTTTATGGGTATAATTTAATATTTGAAAAATAAATTTGTTTTTAAAAATACTTTTTTCAAAAAATATGAAATCGTTTTAAGAAATTCGTAAAAGAATTTTTACTTTTTTTTTTTATAAAATATATAAGATAATAATAATCTTATAATATAAGATTATATAATAATAATATATATATAAGATTCAATTTTTTAAATAGTGAATATAGGTGACTATTTTTATATAAGAGCTCGTGTTAGACAGTAATGCTATATATTAATTTTAGTTATTCCGAAAATAATTTCGTTTCCTTAAAGCTTTAAATATTCAATTGAATTTTATCTCTATATTGGTCGAATATCTTCTGAGCTCTTTCTGACAGTAGATTACAAAACTTTTGATATTTGCTAGCACTAAACTGATTTAATTAATTTCTGACGTCTTAAGTTAAATAAACTATAATTGGATTCAACCAGTTCTTGAGAATATGGTAATTGTGGTAGTACATCCAATTCAAATTGTAAAAATTTTTATCAAGCTATCAAATGTCTGTAAGGTTTTTTATTGTTTTGCTGCTACTTCTATGTCATATTTTTTGCATTGTTCAATTGTGGTATTTTTTGTTTGACTAAGTAACTCCATTTGTTCAGTTAAATTGATCATATCATACTTTTGAATTGATCTTGAAGTTCTACCAATCAGATAATAACATTTTTTTAATTAATATTGGGTTCGAATGTGCTTTAAGGCGTTGCTTCTTTTTTACTGCATAATCTGTTCTATTTTATAATAACTACTACATTAGAGACTACTATTTTTCTTTCCAGTTAATTTGTATTAAAAATAAATCATTTTTTTCCAAAATTATAGAAGTTAGTATGATTGATCAAATTTTTTTCTGTAAAAATATGAAGAATCCATAAGTAATAAGAGCGTTTTGTATTAAATTCGATTAATTTAACATCTTAACGATTTTATAATCATGACCAATCTTTATTATGTCTATGTGTATTACTTGAAAACCAGTTCTGTGATCATTACAGTACATATCAAATAATTCTACTCTTACTTTAGCAACATTTTTACATTATTAATAGTTACTTTCAAATATATTATTATTTAATCCTTTTATTCCTAGGTGGAACAGAGGGCCGTAACAAATAGTTTCCATTGAACTCTATCTAATGCAAGACGTTTTGTTTCACTCCCGCTCTTTCCAGCATTTCTTAATTCGGCTTCAGTTTGTCGTTTCCAAGTGTTGCGCGGACGCCCTGGTCTTCTACTGCCTTGAGGGTTGAAATCTAAGACATTTCTTGCGATATCATCAGCGGGTTTTCTTAACGTATGGCCAAGCCATTTGTATTTGCGCATCATTATTTCATCAGTTATAAGAGGCTGATTCGTTCTAAACCCGAGCTCATTGTTGGTTATGGTTGCTGGCCAGAATACATGAAGGATGCGTCGTAGACAACGATTGACAAAGGCTTGTAGCTGTTGTGCGTCTCTTGCCGTTAGGTTCCAACTCTCACTACCATATAGTAAAGTTGATTTTACGTTTGCATTGTACAGGTGTATCTTAGTGCGTTGTGTGATGTTGGATGAACGCCAGATTTTGTTAAGGGTTCCAAACGCTTGCTTCGCTTTCGATAGCCTGTACTGTATGTCTTGCCGACTGCCGCCGTTGTTCGAAATGTAGCTTCCCAGATAGCAGAAACTTTGTACATCTTCGATGTAGGAGCCATCTAGTTGAAACTTCGTTAAGCAGTTTGAATTGAAACGCATAGACTTGGTTTTGTTGATATTGATTGACAGACCAGCTGCCAGTGCACGCTTTGCGATGTTGTTTAACGATATTTGCATCTGGGAAAAGTTATGCGTTAGTAAACAGATGTCATCAGCGTAATCGAGGTCAGTAAGTTTGTTATGAAGGCCGAATGATATGCCATGATTTGTGCTCATAGCTTCCGACATAACCACATCTAAGACTATATTAAATAGTATAGGTGAAAGAATGCAACCTTGCAACTTTCAAATATATAATATTCGGATATTATATATGTTATGTTCACGGGCTTGTCATCGTACTATCACCATCTGCAAGCGAATATAGGTGGACATAATATATAAATATATAAAGAAACCCTTTGACTAGCAATCCTTGTAATTTCAGCTGTCGAGTTCGAAAATTTTATTACGACATAAATATGAAATTGGGTTCGAAAAGATAAAAGATGAATTATGTACTTGTAGAGAAACAGGAAAATATTCTCCGAATTTCTCAATATTTTTGTTTAATATCTTGAACTAGTTATTTTGTTCTATAAGTTTTCACATTAGTGGAAAATTTTGTTTTAAGTTATATAGAATTATAATTTAGCCTATTAATTTCATTTTTCTATATAAAGTTGATATATGTTTTATCGAATTTAAAACATTTTAAACATAAATTTTAAAACACTATGAGGTCTTTTTTAATCGCCCCAACCGATCGGTAGACTTGATGTGTGAAAGATATAAATTTTAACACAACCCTGACTTTAACAATGCTTGAACATGCTAAAAAGAAATTCATTTCTTAGTTTACTTTAATAAGATTAACAAAGAAAACGTTAATTTTTTTTTATCTTTTATTTTTCCACAAACCACTTGTTGTTATATGTGTTTAAATAAATTTGTTTTTTTTTTCTACATTTAAGTGTATATGGTAAATTCACTGTAAATACTTTAATATCTGCTTGCTTAATTTTCTTAAGCACTATTTTTATTTTTCTACTTTTAAATGCAAACACCAGCACACAATTGTGGACTCAAGCAAATTTTTATAGCTTTTTCCTCTATTAAAATATCGCATTTCATCATGCATTGTCGGCAGCCTGGCGCTTTGATAGCTTTTAGTATCTGAATATAGCCTTCCATATAATTTTTTGCACTTTGGTGCTGCGCTGCTTTAGTTGGGAGTTTCTACGAAAGTGTTTATGAATGTGTCCTTGCTTATGCGTTTGTTTGGTTGCACTATACAATTTAACTCTACACATAGCACAGTAATTAGATTTCTGGGTTAATTTTGAAATAGTGTGGCACAGAAAGAAAGGAGGGAAAAATATTTCAAATGCTTGTGGCAACTCTAAAGGCCACTTAACTGCTTTATTTTACATACAAAATTGTTGATTTGGAAATTACATCTTCAGTTACAGTTAAGGCAATTCTAGAACATGTTTTTTGATTAGTGTGACACATTTCAACATAATTAAGTCTTCTTTATAGTTTTTATATGCATGTATATCTTTTGTGTCATAATTGCTCATCTGCATTTGAGGTTAATATTATATTTTCATATAACATAAACATTGTTAGTTGGTTGGTTGGTTGGTTCACTTCTTCAAAAATTCTATTAATATTGAAGTGTCAGGCTTTCACTTGTTAGTACTCCAAATGCACAAATTATTTTCTTTATATTCAATTTTATTTATGCATCGCAACTCAAAGTAATATATTTTAGTTTGCAATTTATTTGAGTTATATCTTATTACTATTTTTTTCTGAGGAGGTAGTAAATGAATATAAAATGGAGCTATTCATGTTAGGAGTGTTCACTACTATTACGACTACCAACCTTTTACTAATTACTAAGCAGTGAAAGTATAATCTATTAGTGAGAACCCGTGAGAATATCTGAAATCGTATTGATTTGTAAAATGTTGATGTGCTACATTCAATTGTTTGTTCTCGGGATCAAATAATTTTTATTATTACATATATCCGTAATTAATAATATAAAAAATACTAAAATTCTTTTAACTTATAACTTTGATAAAATCAAAAAGAAACCAAAAAATTGAAGATGTTACATTTATTTTCATTCATATAATTTTTTTTTGTAGAGAAAAGATATTCATAGTTTTGTTGTATAGAAATAATGTCTTCTAGCACATTTTATTCTATTATTTGTAGGCAACGTCTTGGAATTGATTTACTTTATTTCTAATATGGCGTTTACATTGGCCGAAAATGGCTCATTTTGAATGAGCCATTTGAAAGTGTTTACATTCGTT